GAAAATCTTTCAGCAAGTTGATGGTCTCCTGGCAGCAATTGATATTTGTGTCAGTGTACGTTCTGAAGAAAAGACTCCTGTGAGTAGTTTAGGTTGAACCCAGATTAAAACCAACTGAGTTCTGTCAAGACTTTTTTTCCAATTGCACATTCTAGAAGGAGATGGCTGATGATGGGGAGGCAATGGCCTAGTGGTATTATCACTGGTCTGTTAATCCAGAGGCCCACATAATGTTCTGGGGGCCTGGGTTCAAATTCCACCATAGCAGATGGTAGAATTTGAATTCAATAAATATCTGGAATTAAGAGTCTGATGATGACCATGATCATTATCGATTTAGGAAAAACTCATCTGGTTCAAAAACGTCCTTTAGGGAAGGAAACTGCCATGCTTACCTGGCCTGGCCTCCATGTGACTCCAGACCCACAGCAATGTGGTTGACTCTTAACTGCCCTCTGGGTAATTAGGGATGGGCAATAAATGCTGCCCAGCCAGCAACACCCTTATTCCATGAATGAATAAAATAAATGATGTGAGAAATGTGGGAAATTCCCACATTGGGTTATCTTGTTAATTGATGAAAACTAACCTAAAAACTGGCTGTACTTTTAGTTTCATTGGTAGAGCTTACACTGTGTTATTTTATTCTTATTTGTGATACACCGTGTATAAAAACAGTTAAGTTGAAATGGTGGGAAAATGTGGTTTGAGCTACCCTTGATCGATTCTTTCTTTTATTGGCCTGAAGGGTGTAAAAGGAGCCAAATGGTCAAAAAGCAGAAATTCAGCAATGTGAAAACACACAGCTTAATGTGTGGGAAACACAAGCTAAAGTGCTTATAGCATCTTGAAGGCTCAGATGTACAACTGAGACAAGGTCAGTTAGTTAAAATGGCTAGTCTGCAGTACAGAATTATACCAAGAGCATTGGTTCAATTCCTCTACTGGCTTAGGTCACCATAAAGGTTTAATCTTTGTCCCTTACCTGAAGTATAGTGACCCTCAGGTTACATTCACCAATTACATTCTCTCTAACAAGAGAGTAGCCTCTAAGACAGTGGTAATGTTCACCTCCATAGTTGAGCACCAAGGCCATTACATTTTCCTTGCTTTAGCCAGGCACTAGGATTGGAATGTTTATGAGCACAGAATAACAGAGATATTGAAACTTTGACCTGACTTGGGTGGTTACACATTCAACAAAATATTTTGTCATTGAGCTGGTTGAATAACAGTGAGGGCATGACTGGGTTATATTCATCTCAATTGACTCTGTGAAACAAAAAGATAGAGATGCTGCAAGAACAGAAATTTTACAGATGTTAGGAGTTGCATTGACTCATACAATTGTACAAGGAGGGAATAGTGACGTGCAGATCACACTTCCTCACAGGATGTATGAAAAATACTATTTCTACTTTGATATTGCTGTACAGACTTAGTAAAGATTTACTTATACTGATTTAAAATATACCACCATCACCAATAAAGTTTACCACTTTGAATATATTCAGAACATGGGAATAAGGGGTTAACATGTTACTTTGGTTAGAATTCAAATTATCAGAGAAAACTATGTTCCTCACCACAGACACCTCAAGGATAATTTGCAATGGTACTAAAACTTTGGTCTACATGATGGATCTGAGAGGGCAGACCATTCTCATCATCAGCTAAGCTATGTCTTGGTGCTTGTTTGAAAGCTCTGGCAATGAGACCTTTTGTCAAATAAATTTAAATTTGCTCAGGCACTGTCTGAAAGGATCCATTGATTCCTTTACTAGCAGAGCCTCAAGGATGACATGTATGGACGAGTGCCCGATGAACTTGTATTGAAAGGTGCTTTTCTGCACAAACCATTTACCTGAGGGACAGGTCATATGACAAGCCCAAATAAATGTTTTTTTAAAAATAAATAACATTCAGCAGTAATTGTTGGAAGAATGATTGCGCGCCGTCACATGAGGTAAAAAAAGGATACGTCAAACATTGCTAAAGTGTGAATTGCTGCAAAGAAAGCAGAGCTTACGAACAGATGTTTCCTGGAACGAATGAGCAAAATTGATGTCACTGACTGTCACATAATTTGATAAACATTGTGTTTTCCTTCAAGTGTTGAATGAGACTTTCATGGATCAATTGTTCTAAGTAGCTTTTCTGATTAATTTTATGATCTGTTATAAAGAAGAAATTTGTCTTTGATTGTGGCACATTGTAAGGAGGGCTAACTGGAAATCGTTTTAGAAATGCACTGCTTTCAAAGCTTCTACAATATGCGCTGTATGTTTGAGCAGACCTCGCCTTCGAAACAGAATGATCTTAAAGGGATGCCCATGACTATAACTAAAGCTGTGAGCTACATCAACAATTTTTATTCTTTGTAAAAATTCACTAATAATACAATGGTAGAACTTTGCTAACCAGGGAGTGTCAAAAAAAACATGATGTATTTAAAATATGTTGAATATGAGGAGAAAATGCCTTCATAAAATTGAGATAAAGATGTTTAAACTTACAGTGTAATTAGGGAAACCAGAATTAAGCTAGAATTAATTAGTGTTATTGGTCAGAATTTTCTGAGGCCAGAAGAGAAGGTTGGCAGCAGGGGACGGGAATTAAGTGGAAAGGCCCCAACTGGACAGGACCACAACACTGTCCTTCCATCTCCCTCAGGTTTCCTGGGATAAGCTGCAAGAGACTTGGCAAACCATTCCACAAAAGCAGCTAGCTACATAGGCTCCAATTAGGAACACTTTCAGATGAAAATGAATTTCGTGGAATTGGACTAACTCTCTGCATGGATCCTGGAGGCTGACTGCTAGGAGATGGTCTCCCAACATCAACATCAGGGAGTCATCAATGCCTAATCTTGCTGTCCAATGTATGAGTTGCAAAGATGAAAAGGCCATAGCTTGAGTGGGAACCAATCCTGTGGAAGGGCAAATTACAGATGCTATAATCTATTAAACCCTGCTGTATGCCAACAAAATATTTGCTCGCACTCATTGCTATCAAGTTTAAATCCCTTGAAAATCTAGCAAGGTGGAAAGGCCAATCCTTGGCAACATACAAAGGCCACTTGGCCCTTCAGGTTTAGACATGATGGAACCTCTGCACATACTGACACTTCAGATCAGATTCTCAGCAAGACTTCAGAAACCCAGCACTCAGGATTCTGGATCTTGACCCTGTGACCAAGCTGCAAGTGGCAGGCCCAATGACTTCTAAATATATGTAGCCTAATTGAGCAGAAGGTGAGCTCAGCAACCAATGAGATCAAGTGCCTCCAGGAGGCAGGAGCTGTACTAGTGGCAATATGATCCCACAGGGTGATCATTTTCAAAAGCTGCCCATATTAAGTCCCAGCCAGTAGCCTTTTGGTAACACTGGATAGGCCTTACATATGCCTTATTGTGTATTTCTGCATATGGTCCAAGGGCTGAAGTTCTGTTAAAAAGGTGGGAAATAGGAAGCTGATTTGTTTTTGTGTTAGAAATTCAAAAACTGCTTAGAAACCAATTGAAGTTAAGATTTCCACATAGGTGAACTCTTAATTGGTACGGAAACAGATTTCCTGCATTCTTTGAATGGAGTGGGAGTAGAGATGGGTCACTTGAAGTATGACTCATTTAAATACCTCATGGCAGCCATCACAAAGACTGCTGGCTGTACAAAAGGGGATCAAATTGTCACAGTGTAGTGAGAGGCCAGGCACACACAGCAGGGCAGCCTATCACTTCATCGATGCTGACCTGGAATGAATGTTTGATACACAGAGTGAGTGGACAGAGGTCTCTTGATGGAGAGTGGCAGCAGGAAACCACCCCGTCGTATAACTGTGGCAACTCTCTGTTCAACATCACCTCCTTCTACCCCTTCTTTGTCCTCATTCTCCCTGACCTTCTGTTCTTCCCTCCCAGCCAACTGTCTCCTTACAGGAACTCACTGTACTCAAGGTTCCCACCTCCCTGTAGGGCCACGTTACAAAGAGCACAGTGGCCCACTGCAAACAGCAAGATCCTTTCGGGTGAGTATTGGACTAGTCCAGGTCTAGGGAAAACATGTCCGAATCCCAAAGGTCTGCTCAGTGATTGTTCAGCTGAAGAAGTGGTATTATTTGTCTCACCACTGTTTGGAGTTCCTACATGGTGATCAGTAGCTATCTCTTCAAGTGATATCCCTTGTCCCCTAGGATCTTTCCACAGACTTAGGAGCAAAGACTTGAGGCAGTCTAGACTGGTGGAGAATCATAGAAACTGACAGAGAAGTGATTGTGTACGTGGAGGAACCTCTTGTTAAGGTTGCAGGCCCAGTTGAACAGTGAGGAAGTGGGAGACTTCAGCTGATAGATTTCACTAGCTGCTTATTGGGAATCCTGATGGTCACATGGGTACAATCATTAATGTCCTGTAACTGTGGGAATCCAGTGATGGAGGAAAATCCACTAACTTCTGTCCCTGTGAAGCCTTCTCTATCGTGAAATAAATGTGCTGCCCATCTCCAGCAAAGAGGGCACGAGTGGTTCCAGTTGTTGCCAAGATGCCAATAAGGCTGGCAGCAGGTCCTTGAAAAGAGACTGAAACAAAGGACTTTGAGATCCCGCTGACTTTGATGATGGCTGGCAGGGCTTGGCGACAAGTGTTGTAAGGTGCAAGCTCTCTGGCAATGAAGGCTCACATGGCTGTGACTATCTTCTTGCAGCATCACAATCGTCTATAGTACTGAGTAACAGTCATCTGCAGCTAGCTCCAAAAATGGTGGTAGATCCTGTGACATATGTGTCTTTCTTTCACAACCTAAAGCCTTGACAAAATCTGAAAGAGCCTTTTGGCATCTTTCTTGAGTTTCAAAAGGGAGAAGAGTAGGATTTCTGTCCTGCCTGGGTAAATGTGCCTGAAAATCGCCCTGCCTTTGGTAATAGCTCCTATCCAAAGATGACAGATAGAATTCTTCAGGCAGATGTTGTCCCCTTAAAAATGTACTTGCTGTTAGTTTCTTACCTTTCTCTTTCAGTCTGAGCACACCAGATGAATTTCCCTGAGAATTTTGGGAGAAGCACGTGAAATTAGTACTAAAGTCTTCTTCAGTGACTTTACTCAAATTGGCTTTCCGAATTAAAATGAATCCTTCATTATCATTAGTCTTTCTAAAGAGGATAAATTAGAAAAAGTTTAATTTAGTTACAGGACAAATTTTGATCTTGATTTTTACACAAATATTCTAAAATCTAAACCGGGTTAATTAACTTTAACACAATATGCTGAAATCATACCATTGTATGAAATTGCTTTGGAAACAATTTTAACCAACCTTTTATTGTAAATAACTGACCTTTTAAAAAAAATCATTTACAAGAAAATCGTATGAATAGTCTCCTCAATTATTGTTAATGCATAGCAGAATTTCACTCACAATTAGTTTTAAGTATGATCTTTGTCAGTCTTTCTCACAATGAGTAAAGGGAAATGTGATCTGATTACCTAAAAGACTCTAAGGAACAGATTTTTCTGCTATTGTTTTTGGATGTATCATATCACTTGTGTACGCCAAAGTGAAATCAGACAAAGATGATTACATACCTATATGGGAATTTGCCTGATGCTGTGATTGTTTGTGTAAATGCACAATCCAACATGTTGAAATACTACAGCACTAACATTAAAACTGCAAAATATGCCCCAATATTTTAAAAGGATTGTAGAAAACAAATAATATTCATTTGTTAAGTGAATTATAGAACTGTTAGTGGTAGATTCAGTGATAAACAACTGAAGGTAGTTATTGGTTAGACAAAGTCAAGGCATACAATTTTCTAGTCAAGAGTTTTCTTCCAACCCATGTACCACAACTCACCCTCACTGATTATTGTTCCATATTAGATATATTGCACTCAGTCAACCTTTAATTCATATTTAACCATTGTTCCTTTGCTGTATTTGTATCTGGCATTCCTGCCAGACATGACTGGATAATAACATTCAGGCATGAATACTATGATTAAATACAAAAGCCAAATGTTTGTTGAGAAATATCACAAGAACGACATGCAGCATCACTGGGAGTGAGTGTAGCCATAAAGATGGATGGTATTAGGAAGATGTTCCTGGAGTCTGGGAATATTATGATGCAGTTTATGGGTATAAATTACAATATACAATATACAAAAAACTCAGAGATGTATTTTTAGATATGGGATCACTGTGAATCAAGCACAGGAGTTTTCTAGGAGTGCAGATTGATGTTTAAATGATAGCTAGCAGAGAACCCTAGCACAGAAGTATGTTTTGCTCATACTGGGATGGGACAGGCTATGTCTGGCACCAATAGAACATTGCGATGGTAGTAATGTTTTTTGGGATTATTGGGAATGGATTGATAGGAGTAAGAGTAAAGACCCCGGTGGAGCACAGGAAGGAGAAATATGTGTGACAGTGATATGAAGGTGCTTGTGACAGAATATATATTTCTGTTTAGGATTATTTGGGCAGAATTTTACTAGCCCTAGAGTGGGTGGGGAGGAGGGGTGTTCAAATTTCCAGGGGAATCAAGTCAAAATGGGACCGAACGCAACCGGTAATTTTCCTAGTGGTGAGCTGTAATGCCAATTGGCTGCCCATTCCAAGATCACGAGCAACCAATTCAGATAATTAAAGGCCCTACTGAGAATCATTTTACTGAGGCATCAGCATTTAGTAATAGCAAGGTGACCCATGGCATAGGAAAGCCACCAACTTAATGGGGACCGCTGGAGCCAGAGATTCAACACACAATGGTGGGTTGGTAGGCAGAGAGGGAGTTTTGACAGCTCACAACAATCTCTCTGGAGACGTTTCCCCTCTGACCCTTGAGCCCATATTGAGGGGACCTTGTTTCCCAACCTGCTGGCTTCAGGAATGACCATGTCTCCAACCTGTGCTGCTGAACTGACGGAACTACTGGCCTTTTTTTGAGCTGAAAGACTCAGGAGCTCGCCCAGCATCCTTATTGAGATTGTAGCTCTTCAGGCTGCCTCTGGCAAAATTACCAAGCTGGTCCACTTGCTGTGGTCAGTGAAGGCTTGGGACTGGCATTTCTCAACCTCAAATGACCCAACTCACCTCGTTAAAATTCAAGTGTTTTTGGCTAAAATCTATACATGGGACTGAATCCAACATTTTTTGTCTAAATCTGAGTTGCGTTTAATTTTTTTGGGAGGATCTTTATTTTGCCAGAAGGCCAAATGAAAGTTGATGCCTTATCTCAATAATATTTTACCAAGACCCTACCAAGCCCCTCACATCTGATTTCTGTCCCATTTTACCACTTGCCATTCACAAAACAAATCAACATAACCCATTGTGTAAACCCCACAGCCCTCATACTTCTCCAAATCACCACCCAACCCATCTACTTCATGTCTGCAGCAGCCTATCTTTCCCACCCAGCCCCTGGCATAAGGTGACCATGCTTGATGTATTCATTCACTCCCTATCACCCCTTTGAAACTAGCATGCTCCTGACCATTGATGACAACCCTGCATTATCTTCTTCCCTGTCATGCCTTACTTTTTTCCCCATCCTTGCAAATCCTGCTGCCCCCTTCATAACAGTTCTGTGCCCTTACCCAACATGTCCAGCCCGCAATCCCAAAGACAAACCTGCCGAGGCCTAGTCCCACCGAATGCCTTTTAGTGTGCTGAACTGTTACTGGAGGCTCCCCTTGATTTAATGTGTAGGAACCTCTGACTAATTGGAGATTCCTGTGGATTTCAGTAGAGATGACTCTCCTAGGGCTTTGAGAGATGGCTGCTTGTTTGCTGCCCATGCAATGTGTTTGTCAAGTAAGCTGCTGGCAAATGGTGTAGGTGTGAAACTGACATAGCCCACAGCAAGATATGCCCCCTCTAGACTGAGGACTGCTTAGCAGCAAGGCAAGTGCCTGTTCTTGTGCCTGCACTAATTGGCATAATCAGTAAAGGCAGGGTGTGAACTTGCAGGTGGGTGCTAAGTGAGCGTGCACTAAGCACCAAGTGAGCATCCCTGAGACACAGCCTCGTCTGTGAGCTGGGAGCCTATGTTTGATGCAAAGTGTCCCTACTGCAGCTTTTCAGTGCTGCGGCACTCCTCAATACAAATCTGTGTTTCCAGAACACACTGCCAATGCATCAGAGAAGTACCAGGCTGGTCATGATTGGTTGCCGATTGGCAGATGCTAATGTCCAATGGAGGTGAGGTGCATGACCCTGATGCCCAGTGATCATACCCTGAGCTATGGTCTGGTCAAGGACATCATGGAGGTCATTTGGGGCAAGCAGTGAATTCAATGGGTACACACTTTGTTTCATTTGTCAAGTTTCCTGGATGTCAAGCTGATTTAGCGAGTTTATTAAGATGGCTGGTTGAATTTCAATGAAACAAGTAATGCTGTTAATAAGCATTAATCCACTACTGTTGGCATCTCACCAGGTTGCTTGTGAAAAGCATAAAAGATGGAGTGAGATGGTCGTGATTTCAAGTTGGACCTCATTGCAAATGTCGCCCAGTTCTGCCACACATTGTGCCATAGCCCATACAATTCAGATGCCTGTATGGTTCAACCCATAAAATTTAAAATCACATAAGCATTTTCATCCAAAAATCTATAAAGTTAGGAACAGACAGATTGTTAAAAAAAATTCAACATTTGAGTTTCTGATGCAACACAATTTGTACCTAAAATGCAAAATTGTGAAAATAACCATAACTAACTAACCCAATTTTAACCTTGATCAAGTGAATCAATTTGACTGTGTTAAAACCTCCAACAAAAAGAAAGTTTTTGATCACAATCTCCCTGTCATCATCAGAAACTGACTATGTACTCAGAACAGATGTTAGTCTTTTGTTATGGAGAAATGCAATCATCATTTTATTTTTATGTATTTTAAAAAGAATTGATATAGTTTTTCAATGAAAAGCACGGAATTTCAGAAGGTCAATTTGCATGTGAGAATGTATCCATTGTAAACAACTCAAAAATGAGGGCAACAAAATCTGATTAGTTAATGCACACAATGCTTTCAATGCAGTGCTGTTTGGTTCCAAAATGGCTTTCATGCCTCACATGCTTAATTGCAATGCAGCCCCTGCAGGACAGTATTATTGCTCAGTCACTAGCAAGCATTCACTGGAAGTTTGCAGATTAGGCAGCTCTGCATGTAGTGCTGCTTTGATGTTGTGACTGCCATTTCCAACCTCGATTATGTTGTGAGTGCCGTTTCTTAAATATACACAGCTGAGCATGTATTCAACAACAGGAAGTGCCTCTCCCCTGACCCCAAAAGCAATAGTTTGAAGTATCATTGATTGCTCTTGGGTTAACTTCTGTTAGATTAGAAGTGCTTTGTGGTTTGCAGATTTTCAAGCTTTTCCAGCTCCTGAGCTCTCACCACCTACCTGGTGACAAGGCCTGTACTCTCAGAGAGCTCAGGTTGAGCAGGACACAGCAGATCGTAATGAATTGCAGCATCCATTCCGATGAGTATCGCAAAACTCTTTCAAAACAGCTCACATTTATTACCCAAAGATCAGTTGAGACTTAACCATATTTATGTGGGTCTGGAGTCACATGTAGGCCAGACCAGATATGGACAGCAGTTTCCTTCTCTAAAGGATATTAGTGGTAGTTTTTTTTTCTGTTGCTGACAGAAATGGTTTAATGGTCATATTAGACTCTTAATTTCAGATTTTTATTGACTTCAAATTCCACCATCTGCCACAGTGGGATTCAAACTCCACCCCAAAAACATTACCTGGAGCTCTGGATTATTAGTCTAGTAATAATATCACTAGGTTGTCACCTTCCGTCATATAGACAGGATTATTCGTATTCCTAGTGAAATGTTTTCTCTCCATGCTCTTTTCATAATAAACGTTATATAGCGTATTATCATTTTGGGAATTTTAACATAGAGATAACATAGATGTGTGGTTTTCTAAGATGGAGGGGCAGAGGTCGTCCATTGAGTCTGCTCTGTCATTCAATTGAGATAATGGTTGACCTGATAATCCTCAACTCCACTTTCCTGCCTTATCCCTATAACCCGTCATTTCTTTTCTGCTTAAAAATTTGTCTCTCAGCCTTGAATATACTTAATGACCAGCCTCAACAACTCTCTGTGATAAAGTAGTCCACTGATTCACCACTGTGTGAAAAAGAAAATATTTCTCTTCACCCCTATCTTAAAGGGGTGACCCTTAACTCTGAGATTATGCTTTCTGGTCATAGACTCTTTAACCAGGTGAAATAGCCTCTCCCTGTCTATAATAAATAAAGCAAAGAACTAGAGAGGCTATTTTACCTGGTTAAAGAGTCTATGACCAGAAAGCATAATCTCAGAATTAAATCGGATTCAAAAACAGAAATTGCTGGGGAAACTCAGCAGGTCTGGTAGCATCTGTGGAGAGAAAACAGAGTTTATGTTTTGGGTGCAGTGACCCATCTTTAGACCTCTCCCTGTCTAACCTGTCACACCCCCTAAGGATCTTATATGCTCCAATAAGGTCGTTTCTCATTCTTCTAAACTCCAATAAGTACAGCCCTAACCAACTCGGCCTATTGTTATAAGGCAATCCCTCCATGCCTGAAAGCAACCTATTAAACTTCCTTTCGACTAACTACTTCAGTTCCTATGTCTTGTGGACTTATGGTCTTAACATTTCAGGGCACACTCCATGGTCAGTGACTACGCGCACAGCCCCAGTCATAATATTCTGTATCTGACACGACCAGTCTCACTGCATCATCATCATCTCTAAACCACTTGCCATATGGTTTTGCTGCAATACGGCTGGTAGCTCATTTTGCACAGCGAGACAGGCACCCGCTGAGCCAGGGTGCATCTTAGGATTGCTCACTGACTCTCTTGGCCCTCACTCACTTTGTGCCTACTTCAATATTCGCAGCAGCCCTGCCTTACCTTGCCTTGTGGCCTTTGCAATTAGTCAGAGCTTAAAGATCACTGTACTTCTGTCTTTCCATGCAGCTTAGCACAAACACAAAACCAGGCAGCTTCTCCTGTTTGTCAGCAGTGATCAGTCAAGGCAGTGGATAATTTGCAGTACAGCACTGTGCCAAGTCAATCTCACACCTACAGCATCTGCCAGCAGCCCTTGCAGCAAACACACTGCATGTGCTTCAAGTAAATGACCATGTCTCACGGTCAAGATGGGGGTCTTCTACATTTTTTTCCTGATGCAGTAAGTGAAGGACGTCAGCTGATCTCAGTCTAGGAGCTTGCATGTGTTCACTGATGGCTTGGGGTGGACACAGTCAGGGTGTCCACAACACTCTGAGGAGTGGGCCATGGTAAGTCCTGCAGGTCACTTCAGGTAATGCGTGGTTCATAAGTCAGTTAGAGAGCTGCACAGTGATCAGTCTGGGGATTGGTCATTCTCTAGCTGCTCCTCCAACTAAGTCGGTCAGGGGGATAGTCCATGGTCAGTCCTGACGGGGTGATAAGCGGCTCAATGAAAAGTCAAGATGGGATATCAGGAGATAGTGCTGTCTTCGGGAAGTTAGGGAACTCACTGCTGGGGATTGGAGGCAGCATGCTGGGATGCAGAGGGGCGAAGAATGTTGATGGAGGAAATTCAAAATATAAGGATAGGGAGATGATACTGCATTGTGGGATGTGATTTACTACAGGATGGGGATTATCAGTGGTCATTACTAGCATGGCTTCAACCATGTGCTGCACAATTGTTGGCATGACAACACTGTGGGGCCAGGGCTTTCTATTCATGAGGGCTCCTGATATAATTCCAGGTGGTGAGTGGGAGAATGTGGAGGATCAGCACTGATGGGCTCTCTAGGAGCGGCACATGGGGGCTTGGGGGTGAACAGGGCCTTAATTAACCAAGCTGAACCTGAGGATTTTGCCAAGTGTGACCTGCATTGCATTCCATATTTGATTGACTTGAGAATGTGCACAGCAAATGGAAAATGGTGATGACCACACCCAGAGTGGGTGGTGTCAGTGTTTGTTGCTGTCTTAGCATAACGACTGTGAATAATGGGAGATCCTTCAGTGAATGTTTTCACAGAGCAGGTGAAGTCATCTGTATCAAGAGAATGCATGTGAAATGCATGCAAGATACACAGTGTAAATGCTGGTCACCAGCAATCTTGACTTGTTATTAGTCATCGCAGATTCAAAGTGGGTCATCTCTGAAAAACAGAAGTAACCACAGGCAACCACAAGTGGCACTTAAAGGCCACAGAGATACTGCAATATCTCATAGGGTTACAGAACTGATTCCCTTTTCACTTTGAATAGTAAACATTCTCCAACATACCCGTATAGGCAATGATGCCTTCTTTGGGTGATGTGAGACTCGGATAAGGTCTTAGTACTCATGCAGCATTTGCAATCTCCTACAGTCTCTTTGTGACATGACTGGTGATGCATTCATTGGAATAACGTCCTATGTCAAAGTTCCAGTAGAAGTATTCTTTGGCCTTCCTTGTCAGATTGTTCCATGTCCCACTGGATAGAGGAATAGCTAACTGTCTTTTGTGAATGATGTGAATGCTGACTGCTCATGCTGACCAACAGCCTGCTCTGTTTCTTAAGATCCTCCCAGACTCATTGTAAGTGTGACTGATGGACCCAGCAAAGCAGGAATTATGGTCATTGTTGCTGTGGTACAACAAAGATGCATAGAAACAGGGCAGGAACAGCAAGCCCAGGACCAGCAACAACCTCCAGCAGATGCTGAAAAGCCGGCAACTGAAGGTCCCCTCAGAATGTGGAGGAGGTACGGGAGGATCAGAGTCTATTGTCCTTGATGCCATTTTCTCAGGAGGAGCATGGCACACTGGCAAAAACTGCTGACATTCCAGGACACGCTTACAGAACTAATGCCAGCTGCTGGAATGGGAGCTACAACAGGAAGGAGTGGGTAGCCACCCTATGTTGGTGGCCATCATGGCGACAGCCGCACTATATTTTATGCAACTAGTTCCTGTGGTGGAACTTTCAATCCTCAACACAAAAATGCACTAAGGCTGTCAATGATGCAGTTTGTGCCGGAACACACCGCTTCATCTCATTTCCCAGTGACCAAATCAGCACTGCAGCCCGGGCAGCAAGAATCAGCAACATATCTGGCTTCCTCAGATGCAGGGTATGATATTTTGTACGCACATGATGAGACCTATTTCATAACGCAGCTGAGTTCATTCACAGAAGAGAATTCGTTCCACTAATGTACAAGTCATTTCTGGTCATTTGTACCCAATCTGGGACAGGCACCCCAGAATCTACCAGGATGCATATTGTTGAGAATTCTCAGGTTCCTGCAGCATGTCCAGGGCTGGATTCCCTACAAGGATGGTTACTGAGAGAACAAGGGCTACCCGCTGTAACCAAGGCTAATGATTCCATAATACAACCCCTTGACTGAGTGAATGGAGATACAATACAGCCCATTATTCACCCAGGGCCACCATGAAGCAGACTGTGGGCCTGCTGAATATGAGGTTCCAATGCTTGGATAGGTCCGCACTCCAGACAGACTGTGCCACATACTTTTGGCATGCTGTGTTATGCACAGCTGGAACAGGCAAAAATGAAAATGTGATGGAGTCCAAATATTTGGATGAGCAGGAGCAATCTTCCAAAAGGAAAATGACAATATTGAGCAGAAAGTACATTACCTCCTGCTTGACAAAGCACAGCAGTATCAGGGCAGTTACAAGCCAAACAGGGCTTAATTGGTTCCAGTGGATTGAGAGCTGGGTGCAGTGATCATTTATTGACTGTAAATTTGTTGGTGCTTGAAAGGAAAACTGTCTGTTTCTGTTTCAAGAGACAAGTGCAGCTTCAGTGTGTTTCGTTCTGTTCACCTTTGCTGTTGCTGAACTTAATGCTTTGAAAGTTTTCCCAAATTTGATGATCCCACATTAAAGAACAATAACATGCTGGTCTCCCCAGGGAAAAGTTATCCATGATTGTCAATATAAGAAGCAGACAGTATAACGTTTAATTGCATCATGATTAACCGGCATAAATTAACAGCACATTGAAATGCCCTAACACTAGACACAATTTTATTGAATTTTTCTTCTGAATCTCTGGCCTTATGAGCTAAATCCAGGTGGAGGGAGTTAAGAATAATTGATTGGAGTTTTAGTCCAGAGTCATGATACATATAATTGAAACAAACAACTTTGTCTCAGAAGCTAGTACTTACTGAACTTCACCCTGCTGGAGTCTCATATTTTCTGTCACATCTTTGCCATTTATTAGCCATTTGATCATGGGATAAAATTTTCTTTCGAAACCAAAATAAACTTTGCACATTAACTGTACAGATTGTCCTAAAATTAAACACATAAATTGTTAGAAATAGTGTATTTGGTGAAAAGTATTCAATTAATTCCTGTCACCTTGTATGAGTCTGATTTTTCTCAATAATAATGGGTGAACTGGTTCATTGAATGGGCTGGTCTGTACATGTGATGCAGCACACTAGACTGCCTTCATTTCTCAATGGGAAATCTTTAATTTAATTTAAATAGATTATACACACTGGGAAACCAAGTTAATTTGGCTTACGTCAAACTTGATTACGCAAAGAAAAATTTGGAAAGACGGTAGCTCCAGCCACAAAAAGGGAAGTTATGATGACGACACATCAGTATTCCCTTTGATTCTTAATAATTAAAGATCCTGTTGCAGTAAAGGAGGTAGCTCCCAACTCAAGGCTCTGCATTAGTTTCTTTTAAAAACACAGGCACAGACTGCATTGAGCATTGAACTTTTCAAGTCATCTCTTGTATCTGGTTGCAAGTGAGAAAGATGTGAACTGACACTTGGAGGGAAGATCATTGCATTGCTCACTGTTGCACACATTTCTTGCAAGATCCATCAAGGATGTCAAAATGTCTATTGTGAAATAACACATCTAGTATCTTACTTTTTCAAGCATTCTTTGTTCTCTTCAAAGCTCTACAGTCTGCCTCTCTGGTTTTATTGCAAGGATGATGGAGCCCAAAAATAGGAAAGGTTTGCTAATACTTTACAGGGCACTAGTGACTTTGCAGCTACAGAACTATGTGCTGTTGGTCTCCTTATTTAAAAAAGGATATATTTGCATTAGAAACAGTTCAGAGAAGTATCACTAGACTGATTCCATAGACGAAGGGGTTGCCTTCTGAAGAAAGAGTGAGGCGATTGAGTCTACTTATCGGAGTTTAGAAGAATGAAAGGTGATCTTTTTGAAAGATATAACATTCTGAGGGGCTTAACAGGGTAGATCTAGAACTAGAGTTACAATTTTTAAAATAAGAGATTTCACATTTAAGACATGAGATGAGAAAGAGTTTCTTCTCTCAGAGGGTTGTTAATTCTCTCCATAAGGGAGCAGTGGAGGTTGGTCATTGAATATATTTAAGGCTACGTGTACAAATTTTTTGCCAATGCAGGAGCCAGGGTAATGGAGGCAGGGAGAAAAGAGGAGTTAAGACTGCAGTCAGATCAGCCACGATCTTATTGTATGATAACGCAGTCTCATGGAGCTGAATAGAATCTATCTCTTATGATCTCATGATCTCTCAGATCCAGATGTTGAACATGGGACAGCAAGTAGAAGTTGAGGTTTTCAGGCTGAGGCATTTCTAGGAAATTAGAAGCATACTCAGTGCAATAAAGAAACAATGGATGCAAAGGATGGCTCTGTTCTCTTATTGGTCTCTTATTCTCTTATCTCTAACCCTTCCAGAATTTCATATCCTTTAAACATCACAACAAAGACGTAATGTTTGATTCTTGGATAGCAGTCAATGATGTGTGTTATGACGTGATTGTAACACAAACCTACCATTCATTTAGTACAAGTGTGGCATTTGTTAGTTCTTCCAAAACTCTTCCTTATTTCAGTACTCAGCATTTTCAGAATCTATTTAGGAATGCTAACGCTTAGTACCTTTTCAACGTATTTTAAATACTTGCAACAACTGAAGATCTTTTAATGGAAAACATAAGTTAAAAAAAACTAATGTATTGGGCAAAGTATCACAATACAGTTTAGCTAAAACCAGCTTTTTGATGGCTATAACATGCATTCAGCATTAAGAAGCTAATTTCAGCAGTTAAGGTGTCAAGATCCTTGTAGAACCCATGTGAAATGGCTGAGAAATATACAGTGGAAAGTCACTCAGCTACAGAGGATTTCTAGAGATGAGCCACATTTACATAAATCATTCTCTTAGTTGAAGCTTGCAAGTATCAATGATAAAATCTCAATCTCTATTTGCCTCAAAACTGCTCATTTGAAAAGAGAGAAATAGGTGGAGCCATGGATCAAGGTCTGATCACTGACCCATATTTATCAGATTCTCCATCACTTGCACAGCTACGGAAACTTGGGACAACATGTTCAGCAACCAATCAGTTCATTCAATTTCTGACACTCAGGCTGATAACATATAGGTGAGGTCGGTGGATATCTGTGATCTGGCACTCCTAATGGGGAGCAGTAAAGCCACCATAATCTTACCAGACCATAGGGCTATGCTCTCATAGAGAGAAACTGCTGGTGGCGGTTTAACCTGAGGGTCACCATGCCTCAGGCAAATGGAGATATTCAGAAGGAAGGACCTCAGCTGGTACAAGAATTGAACTCACACTGTTGGTGTCACCCTGCATCCGCAAACCAGACATTCGGCCAAGTTAATTCAGGAAATATGTGCATTCACTTGTCACCCCACCCAACCAACAACCCCGCCCCCCACCCCCCCAACCCCAATGTGCTCATTACAGATTGCACTCCCCACTGGCCATGTCAAACTGCAGAATCTAAAACATTGTGTACATTTATTTCCATAGAGATGCAAATGTTTCTGACTTACCAAGCTCAACCTCAATTGTTTTTACTTGATGAGGATCAATAACAGTTGGAGCTCTCCTTGTGTCATCAGCTGAAATAAATAATCACATTGTATTTGTTAAAATTGTCACACCCAGAGTGCTGCAATGTCATGGTCCAGCAGTTTTGTGTTTCTTTGTTTCAGATTGTTACAATAGAAGGTGTCTCATCTTATTCCACCAGCACAATATCAATAATGTACCAACTACCAGAAACCACAGCCTCTCCACAGCCAAAATGTACACTTCAGTTTAGCCTTGCTAAGTTGCAACATTCAGTCCTGATTTTCTAAGCTTTACTTTCCATTCTTCTCACCAACATAAACCAAGTCAAAGGGAACTCTCTAGACTCCACACCATATTTTTAGCTGAGGCAGAAACTACTACAGGCAAATATTCAAACTTCTCACAGTAAATTAACATAAGTTAAAGATACCTGTACCAGTTATAAAGTTCAGCACATGCACTGCAAAGTCACATTTATGTGAAGTATATGTTACTTTTACAGGTAGGTAATCTGTTTAATAAGGATTTAAATTGCACAGACAGGCAAGTGGACACTGAGAGTAACAAGAGACAACAAGGTGCAGGGCTGGATGAACACAGCAGGCCAAGCAGCATCATAGGAGCAGA